GGTTCAACTTCAACGTGAGGAGGATCGGGTGGTCCGAGTACGTGATGTTGCCTATCCCCGAGTGTGCGACCAAAGGCAGGTTGCTGTGGTGCACTAGAAAAAAGTAAATGCGTGTATAGGTGTCGTGGACTGAGGAGTGAAAGGAGTAGTCCCTGGCGGTTGGGTGGTGTATACGCCAGACATCCACCACCAGGACCCCCTCTCTAAAGTCATCCACCCGCAACAGCACCCATTCCATAAAGGCCACTTGGCCCTGATTTGGGGCATAAACATTAACTAGGGTGACCTTCTGATCTCCCAGCGTGCCCTTAACCATGAGTAGGCGGCCCTCCTCCCCTGCGGACATCCCCACTAACTGCCACGGCACCGAGCGGTTAATCAGAATGCTCACCCCTCTGGATTTTTTGTCTGGGGAGAAGCTATGATACGACACCGGGTAATGGCGATCTCGGAACGAGGGAGCTCTGCCCTCGGCGAAGTGTGTCTCCTGGAAGAAACCCACCTGTATTTTCTGGATGTGTAGATCCGTAAGCACCATCCTCCTTTTTTCTGGCACGTTTAGGCCCCTAACATTCAGAGATAAGATTTTGATATTAGCCATGCCTGATGTTCCAATAAGGAGCACAGAAGGGATGGAAGGAAGGAGGGTGTCGGAGGAGGGTAGAGGGACAACGACACGGACAAAAGCGGGAGGGGTAGGAATGTACTGACAGGTAGAGGTAGGTAGGGTGGGATCAAGGGGACAAAAGTCCTTTGTGTGGAATTAACAGGTGAACCTAGGTCCCTGTGGCCCACTAGGCGCTGCAGGAACAAACTAATGGGGGAACTAGTCTGAGCAAGGCGTGGGCCTAAACAAACAAAAAAACAAGCAGAATCAGGCAACCAGGTACCCGGACCTGAGCCGATGGGAGGAGGTAGCTGCCCCGGGGGGCTGGACAGCCGGGAGGGAAAAGGAGGAGTGTGGACCCTGCCACCAGATTGCTGAGACCGAGCGATGGGGGGAGGCGGTCCCAGGGGTCCCCTGCGGCACTACGTCGTCCCGCAGGGAGCAAGGGGCCGACCCCGGAACCGTGTGCCTCCACAGCTCCTGCCCCTCCATAGCTCATCCCCCGGTGGAGGAACCCCCCCCCCCCCGTCTAACGTAGGTGGCAAACGTAATCAGGGAAAGAAACTGCACCCAACTTTTAAACAACATAACATTGCAAACATCGATCAACATTACGATAGAGACAGTAATAATAATGAGTGTGAAGGGGAACCAAAGTGCAGATGGTAGGACCCCTGGGAAAGTGGAGCTACGTCCTCCCCTAGTGCCGGAGCCCCGACACTCCATCCGCTGAGACAGAGCGGACTGGGAGAGTCATGTCCGACCCTTGTGTGGCAGATGACAGTAAGACCAATGAGTAGGTGGGCAGGTCCCGCAGGGCCTGATAGGGATCCCAAAGGGATCTGCGTACAAAGGATACAGGCTGGCCGTTGTGAAGCAGGGGGTCTGGAACCAGCTAACATCAGATAGATCCTAAAGGAGTCCCCCAGTCCGTCCTTAGATGAATCAGCGGCATGGATCTAAAGTGTCACCTGAACGTCCAGAAGGTCCCGAGTGTCTCGGCTGTGTCAGGGGGTGGGTCATCCAGTTGTCCCAGCAGTGTGTGTCGGTGGGTCAGTCACAATGTTCTTTAGTGCCCTTCTCATCCGGGGAAATCGAATATAGCCATCTCAGTATCAAGGCTTTGCGGTTCCGCGGGGCGTCGGTTGGGAGAAGCAGCAGAGGAATCTCGGCGGGCCCGTCGGGTTCGTTTGGGTTTCTGGGCAGTCGGCTGCTCGTCTGATAGATAGGCCAGCAGCCAGTCTGGGAGGTGTATCGCAGGCATCTGTAGCAGATCACATAGGGCCGTTACATCATCGAGCGAGCGGACTGTAAATGAGGCGCCTTCCTTAAGGACATGTAGGCGGATAGGATAACCCCACCTATAGGAGGATCGCTGAGAGGAGAGGGTGCAACATAGCCCACCCGGTGTAAGCCCGCCCCGTCGAGTTCCACAGGCCGCTTCAGCCATGCTTGGCGAAGTATGTCCTCCTTCATGGGGTAGCTCTGAAGACGTTCAACGTCCCTCGGACGGGTCACATCTGTGGAGGGAGGGGCGAGGGTGCGGTGCACTCTGTCAAGTAGGATGGCCTCCGGGGCTACGTCCGGGAGTAGGGAGCCGAAAACCACTTGCACAGTGGGCCGGAGGTCAGAAGGAGAGGTCGCCTCTGGTAAGCCTCGGATCCGCACGTTCTGACGTCGGTTGCGGTCTTCTAGGTCCTCCTTACATAGCTGGAGCATCGCGAGTTGAAGCTGCTGCCTTGCCAGTACCCGGACCCGGGCATCCATCTGTGCACAGGTGGTGGACACCGAAGCCACCTCCGTGGAGACCACTTGTACCTCCTGCCTCACCTCACGCAAGTCTCGTTGGAGCGCCGCTTCCACGCGGGTGACCAGGGCCGCAAAGTCCTCCTTGGTCGGCAGTTATTTCAATAAGGCCCGGAATTCCTGAGGGACGTCCGTCTGCTGCTTATGGAGTGGGTATGGATCGGTGTCAGCGGAGTCCGAGTCGTATGGGCGAGGTGAGTGAAGTCTAGATGGAGTCCCGCTGGGTGCGGGGGAGGGAGAGCGTCCCGGCCTTGTTGTGTGCGCGGGAGGCGAGATTCAGACTCCATGTTGGATGGGTCTCGGCCTCGGGTCCTGTACCTCATTGAGACGAAGTATTGTTGTAAAGAGGGGGTCTGGGAGGATGAAGCGCCCTCCTTCCTTCGTTTAGATGTAATTTGCTGGGATCGGTCAGGGTGGTATAAATTGCCTGGTGTATTGTATAAGTAGATGAAACCACGGAGCTTGTGTAGCACACGTCTTACTCCGCCATGAGCAGGACACGCCCCCAAGAGACATCATTTAAGGTAAGTGCTAACATTAACATGGGGGGAGGGAATTTTTTTTTAACTTTAATGTTAACTGCATATGGACATATATCAAGACATAATCAGATAATTCAATTTCTTGTGTGTAAAAGTATGTGTATTATTTTTTAAATTAATATTTAATTAGATTTCATGGTGTTTTCCACATCTTCAGCGTTAACCTGGTTTATATATAAGATGATGGTCGAACAATAGTACTCCAATACTATAAGAATTGAATGGTTTATTTTCTTAATAAATAAATCTTGATAATTTTCGGCAGGCTATTTATCTAAGTCTGTGGGTCTCCATAGCGCTAGGTCTTACTTTCGGGGTAGGTCTTACTTTCGGGGAAACACGGTATTTGGTCATCTAAACAATATGTGCTTTAAAACATCCCCGTGACTTTACAGGACTTAAAAAAATTAAAAGATGGTACTTTTTTTGTTCATCCCATGACAGTTGAGCAAATAATTATTGAAATTGTTTTTTTAAATACTACATTCCTTAATGGTGCACACTAGTACAACCCAATCTCAAACAATCCCAACTATTGTAAATGTAACAGATAAAACTGTGCTGAGCCAATTAATAACAAATCTGTATTGATGGAATATTTGTGTGATTTTGTGAAACACTGAAAATATAAGTTGCACAAAACTATACCTAAGCAAAATGCATTAAAACCTTTACTATGTCATCTATTAAGTGTATTAATGTATTATTAAACCTCTAACATGTGGTGGGATACCTAGGGGGTTATTTGCAAATTGGCCGAAGGATCCAGCCGTAGCTTCGCCTGATCCTTTGGTTGACTTCGGCAGCCAGGGCTCCTCGGTTCAAATGACCTGGGGACGCTGATCTGTCATTAAACTATAATAACTGGGCAGAACCGGCCGTGATGTCACGGCCGGCTCCGCCCAGTTGTTATTCATTGGCCAGGACATGATAGAAGACTCTGGCAGGTGCCAGCCAAGAGGAAACAGTTGGGCGGAGCTAGCTGTCACTGCTAGCTCGGCCGAATTGTTTTTATTATGCGGCGGGAGTCCGTTGCATGCAGTCGGGTTAGGAGGCAGCTGTCATTTTTAAGAAGCATATGGAGCTCCTGGGATTTGTGCATCCCTGTTATAATGTATGATTTTTAAAATAATTATATATGGATGCACCAAAACCATTTTTTCAAGTACAAGTACTGATACTTGTACAAGTACTTACAGATACAAGTACTAATAGATTTTTGTTTAGTGTCATGTGACAGTTTTTCTAAAACAATAGAGACTAATGATTTCAGGACAGTGGTGGAGCGCTAGAGCCAGGTCCCAACTGCAACCACTATAACCCTGGTAGTTCTCATGAAAATGGCAAGTATCGGCACTGGTATCTGAACATCCCTATTTTTATTTAATAATATTTGTTATATTTCAGTTTTTAATTCATTTTAGAAATATAGTTTACTGCTGAATTCAGCGGTGCAATTGTTGGATTCAAAGAAACTGGTCATGAGGAAAACATTAAGGCTGCCGTTACTTGCCCCCTTTTAAATATGCTAGTTGGCCAGCCTTTATATTGACCCTCTGTCTTCAGGACTTTGAGTCACTGACCTGGAAAAAGCATGTGGATAATGGCTTTTGACTTTTCTCTTCCCTTATCTATATTAAAAGTATCAAAGCCACTTCAACAGCATAACTACCAAATAGCTAGTATTTCCAGTAGAATTTCAGCAGTGACAGACACTGTATTTCTCTCTTGGCAATGATACGTTTATTTAAGTAGTTGACAGCGCTTAGCAGAGCCTGAGGTCGAATGGGGTATATATGTTTTCCAGTCCGTATTTGAATATTTCTGTTTTTAATAAGCCAACATCAACAATCAATTTTCCTTTTTTGCACCAGTGCCCTGTTTCCCTAAACAGGAGCTGCTTCAGAGAAAGGAAGATCAACAGAGTTCTTTTGTTGCTTAGGAGCTTGGCACTTCTAGAAAACTAGCCACAATGTACCTGAAGTGGAGATAAAAGCTGTGTACTTAACCCATACTTCTCTAATTATTGTGTGTGTCTGTTTCAGGAGATCAGACCTTAAGGATATGGGATGTGAAAGCGCCTATGTCTAGGCTAGTTATCCCAGCACATCAAGCAGAGATTTTAAGTTGTGACTGGTGCAAGTATGATCAGGTACGTTGAATATATTACATTCATATGGCCTTCAGGTGATTCACATTCATTTTGTCACCTAGCTATCTCTTTCTTCATAATATGCTTTGTTTTAAAGGAAATTTGTGCTAGTTACTCTTATATACAGTAGTTTCATTATTATGTTCAGTAGGAAAAAAATTATATATCATTTTTTTTAATCAAGTAAATATGAAATATGGCATCTATACCACTGCAACTGGTTTTACCAGGAAGAAAATAATAGCTTAGATCTTCACAGATGTGGCCTAAACAGACCTGGGTGACTCACTGAGGATCACTTGCTCCTCTTCACAGGGGGAGATGTCAATATCTGAACTTCTACATTTATAGTTTGCTCGAAAGCATGCACGCAATGCCTGGCTTTCTTATTGGAATGCCTATCATGCTTTGTAAGCATCATAGATGTACGCTGTAAAAAAAAAAAACATACGCTATTACTACTACATTATTCGTAAAAGTTGTAAATTAGAAAGAAATGCCTAAAATCCATTTGTATTTCCTGTTAATTATCACTTACATTGGATTTCCTTTAGTACAATTCAATGCTATGATACCTAATGTTTTAATAAAAGGCACATGCTTTTTTTTGTAGAAGCAGGTTTCTTTGACCTTTTACAGCATTGCCTGGTGGGAAATGTTATCATTAAAATTATATAGATTAATTTTTGCTAGAATGTTAGGTGCAAAAAACAATATTTGCTCTGATAGTTGAGAACTGTTATGTAATAAGACTTTGGTATTTAATAAAGTGAAAATGAAAGACTGGCGTGCTTCAAATCTTTTTGTCTTTTGATTTGTAAGAAACACCCAGGGCTATGTATATCAATATCTCCACTGTCAAGTCCAGTGGAAATGATTAGCATTTACAGCCAATTACCTACACCAGTAGACTTTATTGGGTCTCACAATGTAATGATTTTTTCATGGCTGTGTACTTTTGTAAGCAATCTTAGTCCAATATTACACTCCATTCATATTCCCTCTGCTGACCTTCCTGATGTCCACTATCCCTACATTGTTTGGAGTCCAAACCGGTGGGGTATAAGTCGGTATAAGTAGCGTATAAGTAGTAAAACCCACGGAGCTCACTGAGGTTGCTGCTTACTCCGCCATGAGCAGGACACGCCCAGTCCCACTATCCCTCTTTACTGCATTGTACAAGGTTGTGATGTTAGTAGCAAACAATTAAAAGCATTGGTTTCAGAGTGCTGAGTGAATCACAAGCTTTTTTGTTTTTTTTAATGCAAAGCAGGAAATAAGTGTGTATTACTAACTTGTCTTTAAGATCATTTTTATTCTGGACAGACGCACAAACCTTTTCCATTAATTTCCTTTTGATTCAATCGGAAATTTTAGTTGTACGATTTAAAAGTGTTTTCATTCAATGCACCACCACATAGCATGCAGCCTCCAAAATACAACCACAGTTACTATTGAAATTACAGTCAATTTGTATAAATCTTCTTTTGATTAATGTCTTTTTTTCTCCCTTTTTGTAAAAGGCTGAGGTGAAAATAATTGTTTAAGCTTATAGGACACACATTACATTTTGAATTAACATGAAAGCTTTTCAGCCTGTTCGATTACTTTCTTTTCAGTTTAACATATAAAGAAAAAAACTGATTGCATATTGAGAAAAATACCCTAATATTATTACATTTATGGAGATAACCTAGCAAATCAATTTATGATAACATACATTTCCTTTATCATGTTATGGGGTGAGGGTCAGGCCAAAGTGAACCTAATAAGAAAGAGGTGCATGGATATTTTAACATCTAGACTTGTATTTTCACATGCTATGATTCACAGCTGTTCAGATTTAAAAAAATGATTGCATGTTAAGAAATATAGCCTCATTTAAGTAAATTTATGGCAATTACCTCACAGTTTCATTTTTAACATAAATACTAGGGTTGCACAGATACCAAGTACAGTACTCGGTACAAGTACGAGTATGTACCGATACTTTTGAGCTCCAAGACTACACTAGAGAAAGATTAAAAAGTTAGGAGGCAGCTGTCATTTGTAAGGAGCACACGGAGCTCCTGGGATTTGTACATCTCTGTTTTAATGTACGATTTTGTTTTCATACATATAAATAAATTGATGCACAGATACCAGTTTTGCGAGTACGAGTACTGGTACTTGCCCAAGTACTTACAAGTACGAGTACTGATACATTTTTGTTTATTGTCATGTGACAGTTTTTCTAAAACAATACAGACTAATGATTTCAGGACAGTGGTGGAGGGCCAGAGCCAGGTCCCAACTGCAACCGCTCTAACCCTGGTAGTTCTCATGAAAATGCCAAGTATCTGCACTGGTACTTGAAAAGTATCTGTGCATCCCTAATAAATACCCTGCATCATGGTATGAGGTGGGGGTAACATCACAGTGGACCTAAAGAGAAAGAGGTGCATGCACATTTTAACATGCTGTAAAAGATGGATGGCTAGATGAAAATTAAAGACACTTTTGGGATAACAGTGTTATCAGTTTACGTATGCTGCCTTTCAGCAACCCATATCTATGGAAATGTCTCAGATTACATTTAAACTGGAATTATGAATATATGGCATATGAGTATTTGATATATTGGCTGTAAGTAAGTAGTGGAGGAGAGGATGGGATTTGACATCATCTCCCCTGATCCAATCACAGAATATCTTGTATTATTTGACAAAAACACAAGACATTTTCTGATTTAAGGATAGTAAAAAGGCTACTCTCTGCACATAATACCCAGCTCGTTGATGATAATTTACACACCCAGTGCAGTGTGTAAATTATCATTCTGCCTGCAGTGTGGCTTTAAATCAGACAAAGGGAGCTGCAGAGCAAGTTGCTCTGCTATGCTGTTTCTTTAGTTATACCTTAGTTTTCTGTGAATCCTCTATGATGTGTATTTGTAAAGCAAAGATTGTATATAGATTGTGAAAAAATGTGAAGCTAAAACAACAGTTTAAAAAAACTAACACACTTTGCCCATAGCAGACCCAAAACTGTAATAGTTTTCTTTTAATGTTTCTGTTTGAAGATTTAACTAGGTAACTTTATACATTCGGTTGGAAAAAAAACAAAAACAAAAACAGGGGGCGCCTTTCCTGGTGCAGACAAATTTATTAAGATCAGGATCAAAGGTAGATAAAAAACATACTCACAAAATTCAGCATAATATGATATAAAAAGTAAGTCCATGAACCCAACAGAAAGTCTATGGAAGCTGCACAATCGTGTCTATGTGTCAGCAGAGGAGACTGTGTGATGTGTAATGACGCCTTTCCGGGGTCACGCCCCCTTCATCAGCCCCCTGTTTTTGTTTTTTTCCCCTAGATTTTGCGGTCTCCCTGGCTGGTTTGGGGGCAGCATCCTGCAGACCTTTCTACACACGTGCTTTTTATTATTAATATATTTTTTAACAGACTTGTTTCTGATTACACTTGTGCTTATATTGGTCCATACTGGCTGAGTAGTCCTTTTTGGCGCTTTTCTGTGTTCATATCTATTCGGTTGGAAAAGGTTAATGCAATTTCTGCATTACGTTTTTTAAAGTGCAAGTGAAGATTTTTTTATTGTCCTGTGAAATAAACTCAACTGTGTTACTGTTTTCAATTGTCCTATAATAAAGCTTCTTTATTGAATTGGAACATGAATTCCATATTTCTACATAAGCACATCATATTTTTGTCAATTTTCCATGGATGAATGCTGCTTTCAAGCTTTTTAGCTTTAGTTTTAGCTAATAAAATGATTTCAGTTGATGGTCAGTTCCTGTTTCATCCCAACCATCCATCAATGCATTTTTTGCATTAATATCAGTCTTTTCCATCATATTACCCATAACCTCATATAGCACGAGTCCTATCTTGCTGTAGCGAGAAAACAGTAAAGTAGTGTGTTCGAATACACTTCATTAACAGAAACCATTTTTAAATGAAATATATGTTGGGATTCTCTGCAAAATATCTTGACTGCTTTATTGCATCTTTGTAATGTTTTGTTCTATGTTACAATTGGTAAAACTCAATAAAACCTAATATTAAAAAAAAAAAAAAAAAAAACCAAAAAAAACCAAAAATAAAAAAAAAAAAAAAATTAAAGGATATCTATCTCTCCAAATTCTGTATGGAACCTTCCAGTCAGCAGTAACATGTAACATTAAAAACTTATAATTGAACATTAATTAAAAAAGGCATTGTTACATTAAATTTGAAATTAACAATTCGTTTATGATATGAATGTGCAGATGATGCATTAAATTATCTTAAAAAAGCTGCCTTACTGATGAAATTAGAAAGCCTTTTCATGGTTTATCACTGTCATGATTCTATTTATTCCTCCTCACTTACAAGCCTGATTTTGGCCTCAGTGTTTTCAAATCGAAGTTGCTCATGCCTGACATTTTCATTTTGTCCTAGTTTGCTATACAACTGTAAGATATTCAGATATTCAGCTCATTACAAACAAGACTTGAAGGAAATCTCATAATTTTAATTCTAATTTCCCTATCAGATAATATGATGACTTGCTAACATTGTTATATTTTTTCTGTCTGTCTTAGAACTATTAATGTTTACATCCCTAATGTGATTTCAATTTACAGTTTATGGCAGGAATGGATCTGCTGTGATGTTGCATTTGTTGAGACATACATTGAAGGGAGATGTGTATATCTGGTCATAGAAGGGCAGAGCTTTCTGACAATTATAAAATCTGATTGTACTTTTAAAAGGTACCATCCTAAAAAGATTGAAATTCCCTGTACAAGGGAAGATTCCTATCTCTTGTAGCCCCTTTATAAATAACAGGTGTTATTTACTGTCGTTTGGATTACAGACTTTGGTCCAACTGTTAGGACCCAGTAGTTCTAATACAGGAGCACTGTATTTGTCTGGCCGTGCTCTAAATGTTACCATTAGATTGAGTTGCAAGAAAAAACTCCCAATTATAGTAAATCGTGCCATTGCTCCAGGAAA